CAGGCCAGAAATAGCCTGTTCCTCACGAGTTGAGCAGGAGCTGCAGCTGCAGCCCCTGCCTCCCTTCGAGGGGCTCGGGAGGCACACCCGTAGTACATAGGAAGTTCCCATGCACTTCACGGGTAGGTAGTTCAGTAGGCACGAGGTAGTCTTCAGGATCTCGGCCGCAGCACTCAGGAGGAGCGCTGCAGTAGTCTTCAGCGCTAGGCAGTAGTGGTAGCGCTAGCGGTAGTCTTCGGCGCTGGGCGCCATAGCTGTAGTTGTAGTCTTCAGCGCTGGGCGCCGGTAGGTGGTAGATCGTAGAGTGAGAGAGAGACTGGCGGAGGCCAGTGTTACTTACCTGTGGCGCCATCGCTCCAGCTCCATCTTCGTAGTACCTGCATCAAGGCGCCAACTTCACAGGTTAGTACTGGACACAGAGAGAGAGAGAGTTCTTCTTCTTCCTCTTCTAAGTCCACCTTCTCTTCTCACCCTCTCGCCACCTGACTTCTCAGACTACGACAGCGAGAGACAGTTGTGACTTGAGACTTGACGACATTGGATCCAGACTTGACATTTGGGATTCAGACATTCCGACGAGGGACTATTTGTGCCGAAGACTTGGTGTTGACGATATTCCCATCTTCCCCCTCCTCTTCGTCTATCCCCTTCCTCTTCGTCTGTGTATGGTATGGGCTGGCGCTGTCCTCCTGTGTGAAGCGCCAGACCCATTCACACCTTGTAACGATGATGATGATGTATGTTCAGGGCTGCATTACAACATTGATTGTTCAGATCACTGGTATCTAAGTCTTCCGCTGTGTTATCTTGTACTTTGTATTGAAAGGTCGGTTCTTGTTCTGGTCTGCACGTTACAGTATGCAACAGTCGGAGTTTTCAGTTTGACGAGTCAGATTGATATTTACCAGTCTTCCGCTGCTTTGCATTGCTGTTTCTGTCCACGTTGGTGATTCTTGGTTATGTGCCATGCCTAGCTATTCATAGGCACGCAACAGGAGAGAGCGAAGTGGAGTGAAGGGATTCACTATGTGCAAGTGGATTGAGACCTGCGCCACAGCACGGAGTCTAGCGGCATCCCCTCCGCGAGCAGCCTGCTGGGAGTATCTAGACCGCCCGGAAGAGCTGATGGAGAAGAAGCAAATGCACCCACAAACGTTGCAGGAAAGTGTTATAATTGAAACTAGACAGAGAAGATTAGCGCGGAACTTGTGCAAGGATGACACTCGCAAATCGAGAAACGCTGACCGCTTTTGGCCAACTCCTTCCCCTTTCCACCCACCCTGGTGCACTCCTGGCACAACAAACGCTCGTCCCCCCACACCGTCCCCCAGAGCCCATACTACAACGTTGAACGGGCAGAAGCACATGCAACCACGGGTGTTATAGGCACCTCCATCCAATGTTGCCTCCTGGTGCTCTGCAACAGAGGTGGCCACTTTTCGCCAACCCCTCCTCTCCCGCGGCCCACCCCGTGCATAGGCTCCTCATCACACCACTCCATCCCACACAGTCCCCTGCAAAGCTCACACCACAGAACACCCTTTGTCACATGCTTGAGATTAACTAGGCACGGGCCAGATCCCAGCATCACAAACGTGGTGAGAAATATCGATGTGAAGGAGCAACAGACTTAAAATGAACAATCTGACTTTTCAGACTCAGGACTCATCACACGCATACTAATATACATCACCCACAGGTGGGATGCAAGAGGAAAACATACACATACAAAAGGTCCCTACTTGCAGAACACACACATGGGAAGAATATCCACAGATGATGCACGTGGGAGATGGAGAGAAACTGCAGGCGAAGAAAGAAAGAAGAGAATGGCAACTCAATTGTAGCCACAATAGGTGCGCACAGTGCTGGTGTCACAGACCAATCGTGTGAATCGATCCAAGGAAACAAGCTCTCAAAGATGATGCAAGAGTGCACAGCGGAAGAATGGAAATAGCAGGACTGACTGCAACTCACCATCATCATGCAGGTGGGAGAGACTCAGCGCTGCATACACAGGAAGGCTGAGTCTGGTACATCATCCACAGACGAAGGCAGGGAGGAGGGACGAAGGAGAAGAGGAGAGGGGGAAGATCAGCCACCAGGCCCACCATAGCCTGATGAACCCAGTCTCCAATATATCCCCCAATGTCGCTGCTCAACAATGTCAAAGTCGCAATGTCACTGTAACAGGCAGAGCCCAAAAGTCACCATAGTCTCAATGTCTCTCTCTCTCTCTCTCTCTCTCTCTCTCTCTCTCTCTCTCTCTCTCTCTCTCTCTCTCTCACACACACACACACACACACACACACACACACAGAGACATGTGGGCTTTCTTGTTGGTGAAGCCT